CAATTATTATGAAAACAATATATATATATATATATATATATATATATATATATATATATTTAAAATTTTCATATTAATAATTTGATAATTTGATTTATTATTTTATAATTTGTTAACGTTTTTGCTATGTCACTATCCCACATTAGAAATTTATGAAATCATTGGAGAGAAGTGCGTCTATAAAATGCACTAACCCAGACATAAAGTTTATAAAATCATTTGAGAGAGACGCATCCATAAAAGGAGCATGTCATTCAATATTTCTTCATGGGCCTTTGAATTGTTGTTTATGAGGCCCATTCAAGAAGTTGAAATCTTTTAAACAAAAAAAAAAATGGAAAATCACAAAATCACAATCGGTTCACCGGTTTACAGTTAAACCAATCAGTTTTGCGGGTTTTTAAGCGGTTTAGTCATAAGCGGTTAATCGGACATGATTGACTTGATTTTGAGCCCGATTTCTGATTTTACTGGTTGAATTGGCCTAGTCGATTTTGATAACATTGATAAATAGTGGTCTTCTCTTTCAGTTTTGTTCAATCAATAATTGTTGAGTTCTTCTATTTCTTTTCATATTGTCGATTAATGAAACGTCGTGTTTCTGTGATTAACTCTCTTTGTTAATTTTTTTACTTTTAAATTTTGTTTCTTGTTGTGATCTTCATTATCTCATATCACGTTATCAATCTCATTCACTATAATCCTTTTGGGTCCAACAACTTGTAATTGTGAGCGAAGAAGTTAAAAATAACGGATGAAATAGTGAAATAATAATTAAAAAATTAATTTTTTGATGTGTAAAATTGTTACCAAATGGGGTCTATGTGTGTTGATATATGTAGATCCCAGTGTTTCTTTCCTTTACCTATAAAAGTGGATAAATTGTGGGCCACCGTAAAGTTTAATACAAATAGGACCCGGAGAATTGAAAGCTGGAAACAGGAATTCACTCGCATCATCCTATCTGTAGACATTTTAATTTTTCAGAGACTCTCAGGTCCTACTGGGGAGTTTTTTTCACCGATTTTGAATGACACCGTTTATGAGAAGAGGAAAAAATTGATGCTTGCCAATTTTTTTAGGCACCAATTTTGAATAATTTTAAAATCATCCAAAATCGATATAAAGTAATTTCGATTGATTCTCTTAACTCACCAATTCGACAGGTTTTGGCCGCTTCTCATATTGACTTTTAATTTTACCCAAAATAAAATAATTTTTTTCAGCCAACGTATTTTCTTCAAAACTAACTTGTAAATAAAAAATTATTTATAAGCAAAAAAAATTACATTAAAATTTAAAAAAAAAACTTATAAGTAAAATATTGCTTATAAGAAAAGAAAGTTACATTATAATTAAAAAATTACTTATAAATAAAATATACTTTTATGTGAAAAATATTATTACTAATAAGAAAAAATTCACTTATAAAATATACAATGTTACTTATAAGTAAAAAATTCACTTAGAAGTAAAAATACTAACTTAAAATTTTTTACGTTTAATATTAACGTATATATAAAAAATTACCTATAAGTAAAATTCACTCATGAGCAAAAAAAAATTCATATAAGAAGCTATGAACTGAAAAGTTTACTAATGAACATATATGTAATTTTATTCTTTTAAAAAACTTTCAAAATTAGTGAATAATAAACACCTAAGTACAATTTTAAAAAATGGCTACTAAAATTACTCAAAATCAATTCGCTCATAAATGCTAAAAATCGTCACTATAAAAAACGCTCGTAACTGGTAAGTATGTCGGTAATTCCCAAGCAGGCCCCTAGGGTTAATGTGGAGAAAATTAATAGGCATGTTTGATTTTCGTTCATTAACTTCATCTCAAGTGACTAAATTTTTACAGTTGCCCTTTTGCAAGCATAGTAATTGGACCAACCATGTTGTCAACACTAGTAATTATAACAATTAACAATGGATTAATTAGTTTCATTGTTAATTGAAATTGAGTGACAGTAATAGTTATTAGTTAATAATGCATATTTGTTGGTGTTGAGAAATTGCATTACAAAAGAGAAAAAGAAAAAAAGATTAAATACTCAAATTGCGGTTTCTTCTTTCTTCTCCAACCAGAGCGCACTTTTATCCTGTTACCTTTTCTCTTTCTTCAAAGGATTCTTTGAAAATGATTATAAATTATGAGTAAATACAGTAACACGCACAGTGAGAAGAAGAAGAAGAACGGAAAATCCCATTGCTAGTCTTCTTCTCCGGTACTCACTCTAACTCTTGAAAATGTTCAAATTCTTGAATCTGTAAATCCATTACTGTTACAGCATCTGAAGGAAAAAGCTAAAAAGAAGCACATTATCCTCTGAAAGTTGTCTGAAAATGTTTAGCAGAAGCTGCATTGTGTTTATCGTTCTTGTGGGTGCATTTTTTCACCTCTGTTCAGCAATGGTGAACCTCACTCTTCCTGGTCAACACCCCTTTCCTGAAGATGTAGCTCAAGATGTTCACAGGTTAGATATACCATTCTGTTCTTACTCTCATTTAGTTTCTGGGCTTTTGCATTTTGAAAGTTTCTGGGCTTCTGCATTTTGAACTTGCTGTGTTCATCACTCGTCCCATACTTCACCTCTACTAAAATCTTAGATTTGTCCACTTACTAACATTTCATTACACCAGCATTTCATATTTTGCCAACTGCGGTAAAAGGAAAAATAAAAATAAAAAATTATATAGTGCTTTTTCTTGGTTAATGCAGGTTTGAAATAATTTTGGGTCGTTTAAGGGGTTTATGCATTATTTACTGGTAAACAGTTATTCTTTATCCCAGAATGAGATAGCCCAAATTTTTTGTTATTTTTGTTCTGTACTCGCTATAAGAATTTTTTAGCTGTCAATTAATTAGGACTGTTTGCCATGGTCTTTGAAAAGCCAAAATCTGCTCCGGAGACTATGACGTTGTTTGTAAATATGCATTGTCCAGCAAGAAGAGCAGATGGAGGAAGTTAATCTAAGATGGTTTATTATGAAGTTTTTGTACAAAAAGTAAAAGTAGAATTAGAAGTCATGCCAAACAGCTCTTAGTATCATTAGTATCGGTAGTTTGTAGTCAAAGATATCTCATTTATTGTATTGGTTTAGTGATGAATGCAATATTCTTCGCCTGCAGTGGCCGATTTAATTTCTGGCCAATGGCCAGGGTTCTGGTTTGTGGGTAGATCTGCATAGTAATTGGTTTCTTTTTGGATTTAACTCCAAAAAAAAAATATATATATATATATATACACACAACAACAACAAAAAATTAACATATTAACTCTATAGACCGTAGGGTGGCCCCTCTCAACAACAAAAAAAACAAAAACTCATTATATTACCTATCTGCCATGGCATCCTATGAAGTGTTGGCATGTGTATTTGTATTTTCATTAAAGAAAATTAACATATGATGTATATACATGTTGCAGAAAAGTAAATGTGTCACTTTCAAGAAGACAAATGCTATCCTACACCACCAACGAACAGTCCTCTTCTTGTGCGACAGGCAATCCTATCGACGATTGCTGGCGGTGTGACCCTAGCTGGCAGTTGAACCGTCAGAGATTAGCCGATTGTGGCATTGGATTTGGCCAGTATGCTCTAGGTGGTAAGGGTGGCAAATATTACGTAGTCACCGACTCCTCGGACCATGATCCGGTCAATCCAACACCAGGAACACTCCGGTACGCGGTAATCCAAACCGAGCCCTTATGGATTGTTTTTGCCACCAACATGCTCATCCATCTCTCCGAAGAACTAATTTTCAATTCGTACAAGACCCTAGATGGTCGTGGGGCTCACGTGCACATCACCGGTGGTGGATGCATAACGCTACAGGATATAACGAATGTAATCATCCACAACATACACATACACCATTGCTATGAAGCTGGCGAGACTAATATAAGGTCGAGTCCAACGCACTACGGATGGCGCACAAAATCTGATGGCGATGGGATTTCCATTTTTGGTGCTCATGACATATGGATCGACCATTGTTCATTGTCACATTGCAAGGATGGACTGATCGATGCTGTCATGGGATCGACAGGGATCACAATATCAAATAATCATTTTTCGCACCATAACGAAGTCATGCTATTAGGTCATAGCGACGATTATTTGCCAGATTCCGGTATGCAAGTGACTATTGCTTTCAATCACTTTGGCAAGAAACTAATCCAAAGAATGCCAAGGTGTAGAAAAGGGTATATACATGTAGTGAATAATGATTTTACGCAATGGGAAATGTATGCTATTGGAGGGAGTGGTAATCCTACCATCAATAGCCAGGGAAATCGATACATTGCACCCTTTGACCGCAATGCAAAAGAGGTAACCACACCAACGTTTTAGTGGACGAACAATCCAACCCTTTTTAATTTATACGTTTATTTGAAGTAAATTTGGTTGGACAGGTGACGAAACGTGTCGACACAGAAGAGGAGAGTTGGAGGGGTTGGAACTGGAGAAGTGAGGGTGATGAAATGGTAAATGGAGCTTACTTTGTAGCCTCTGGACAAGGTGTAGAGGTGAAATATGAGAAGGCCTATAGTGTGGAGCCCAAATCTGCTGCATATATTGACCAACTCGTGATGAACTCCGGTGTCCTAACTAACAGGTCTTGTTTATTTCTCTTTTCCTTCTTTTTCTGAATAAAGCTAAACGAACAGGGCCGGTTCGTGATTGGGCCCCCTGTGATATGTGGGAGCTCTCTTTTTTCTCTCACTTCCTTTTCCACGTATTTTTTCAATAAATTATTATATAGGCGGGCCTAGCGACGAGCTTCTCAATAAACCTTGTTTAGGGTAAGGTATCAGCTGAGCCATAAAGACTGACAAGTCATATTTTGAGAAATTAAACTACTTTGCCCAAATTTTTTTTTGACATAATGGTTGACATCCTGTTACATGCGAGTGATCCCATGTGAATAAAAAAGTTTAAAAAAGAAGTGGGCCCCCTTCTATTGTGAGTGTCAGTCAATCGTTATGTCAAAAAAAATTCGATTACCATAGCATTGTTTTAAGACAGTTCCGAGTGAGCAAGCCTGACCGCAGCCTATGCCATTTTGAGCCTATGTGCCTTTACAAGCTAACCTATGCCGGCCAGGGGTCCTAGCCTTAGGCCTAACTAGGGCTCGTCCTGTACATATCTGAGCTCGACTTGTGTTCAAATATTACGGTCTGCTCAGCCCTTTGACTTGTGTGCTCCATGAGTCTAAACAAGCCGAGCCGTTCATAAACACATTCTTTTTTAAAAATAAATAAATTAACAAAGTAAGTATAAAAAAAGGAAATAAAAAATAAGTGGATCCACAAGCTCAAACAAGCTGGCTTGCTAGCTCGTACCCAGAAGACTAAACGAGTTGGCCGTGGAAAAAAAACATGTGAACTCGATTCAATCCATAGTTTGTCTCAAAACAAGTCCAAGCTGCTCATGGTCTGAGCCCAGCCCGTGAACCGCTCGACCAATAGGCCTGACACTACCTGGCTCTATGGGCTGGCCAGCCTATTGCACAGCATGTTTCGAGCCTAGGCTACAAAATTTTTGTGCTAGGTTGCTTGGGACCAGTTCGACACATTTTGACACATCTAGTTTATGGGGTGTATGATCTGTATTTAACCTTTTGTTATTGATGTTTTGAGCAGTGGACACAATCTGGGTAAGTGGTCAGCTAGAGACAATGGTGGCGGAACTGATTTAGATGCAAATTCAGGTGTTGTAGAGGATTACGACGAAGATGAAGATTCTGGGAGCTGCAGGACACACTCTTATCCCATTCTCTCATCTCTTCTGATAAACTTATCAATCTTCTTGTTTCTACATGTCACTGCAACATCCATGTTATTGTAGTATGAATTCTTAAATGAAAAGGGGAGGACACAAAAGTATGGTTTCCTTTCTGGAATTTACATCAGCAGTGTCTGAAACTCTATTTGGAGTTTGAACTTCACCAAGAAGAACAATCTTTTGGTTTGTCAGTTTCTAAATGAATATATCGAGTGACTAAACGATCACGAAAACAATTTATATTCACATGCTAATGATTTGCAATAAATTCCCAATTCCTATCAAGAATTAATTAAACTACCAAATTAATCCATAATTCCACATCTAAGCATTAACACTTATGAATACTACAAAGAAAATACAATAAAGATAACGAGCTCTGTTCTTAAATACGAAAAATAAGATATAATGATTGTTTATATATTTTTACAAGCAAAACGATCATACTACTGTTAGCTAGTAGCTTGCTCTCTAATCTTGTATGTTCGTCTCTTTAAAATTTTCGGGTTGAAATTATATAGACACCACCAACATGGCTCCCATTATTACTATAAAAGCTAATCTATAGCACTTGAGATTTTGCGCAACAAGCTCAATATTTTTCAAGCATACTCAACTTTTGCATAGACAACTCGAGATTTTCCCAACATATTTTTTAGTATCGACTTTTGCATAGACAACTCTTGATATTACGTACAACAACACCCAGTACGAAATTCTTTTTGAGGTTGCAGATAATCTGATATGTAGCATTTCAAAACTCTACTAGAACCTTTAGTACCATGTTTTGGGATTTAAGATAGATTAAAACCCATAATCAGTTTAGAAACCGAGATGTTAAAATCAGTTGACAATTGAAATTTGCAGTGAAAATACTAATGCAGGAGAGCATCTCGGTGAGATGAAAACGTGCCCAATGTTATGGACAGACATTGGTGGAACTCTAGCAGTGGTACTGACTATGGAAGAGATCATGATCCAACAAATTATAACACGAGACACATGATGATGAGAAGTATGATAAAAACACGTAAGATATAAATTTTATTTATTTTAAGTAATCCTATGGCCCACTACCACTTAAACTAATGCTATTGCTACATAGATTGTTCAAACAAAAAGTGTTCGCATATCGCCAAAGAATAATGTTGATCATGGTAGTGTACACCTTGATTCATTGGCCAATAAATTAAAATATCAAGCAAGTGCATTTATAAGATTAAACAATCACCAAAAAACTTCAGAGTTGAAACAATTTTAAGATCTGTCATTTCATCTAACTCTTCAATATGCAGATTTTTGGTTTTGCAGGAATTTAACCCACTTAAAGAACACAAATCAACATACTCTCTCTACATTTGGCTTCGCCAATTCTCAGCATGGCCCTTATTAAGAGTAGAACTTTAGCGCCATAGATTACTATCCATTTCAAGAAATAGATAGTGTTACCTATCAATAAAGGATTTGTTCATGAGATCGACTGCTGAATCCTTGAACTGCCACCATAGGAACAAGTAGCTATATCAGTTGAGAGGCAATACTAAAGCAGATGCATTTGAACGCTAACTAGATTAAGAAGACTCTTAATATACAAATTGTTGACACGAGGCGAGGAAATATAAACTCTATTAATCTGAGAATAGAAGTAGGGTTCCAGGGGTTGCATCTGTTTCTGTTGAATGCTTGGAGCAAATATTTGACCGTCATTCATAACCAATCCAATTTGTCAGTTAATGTCATATCGCTGCAAATCTCCATTTATAACTCAGAGATCTCATACAAATGAAAGTACATTTAAAATCATTACTACCTTAATGCAGTGGATTTCCCTGCCGTTCTGTTGTCATCTCCCCCCCCCCCCCCCCCCCCCCCCCCCCCACACCAACCAAATAGGGGCCAAACGGGGACTAAATATAAGTAAAGTTTGTGTGCTACTTCATTGGACTTTCATTAACGTCTTAGAAGTCTAATAATCACCAAGAACTTCCTCTGAATCTTCTTTTACCCAATTGCTACAAACACGAGTATTTCTATACCAAATATAATTAACTTCGAATTTTCTAAAGCCACATAATTATTTACTAGCTTACAGGCTAACTTTTTTACTTTCCAAATGTCAGAGATTCTGGCTGAATTGAATACCATCAACTTTTTCTAGGGGGAAGGTTGTATGAGGTTAACCATCTTTTAGGGGTTTGTCAAGAGTGGGAAGTTCAGCTTGTTCAGAATCTTTTGGTGAAGCATTATAAGTTTAGACTTTGCGGATTCATTATGGGTAGAATTGTTGTTGGATATTGGTTAAATAAATTGAGAATTGAAAATCGATTAAAGTTCGTATCGAATTCGGCCAAATACTCAAAAGCTCGACTCAATCCGTTTAGGCAAAATTGTTTGCCACTTAGCCGCTTCAGGGCGCACAAATGAGAAATTACGAAAAAGGCCTCAACCATTAGTGAATAGACACCTTTTCATAAGGGTGCATTGTTTGGAAAGGGTGCATGGTTTGGCCTCAACCATTTCGTCCACACCCCTTCATGGTCTATAAATAGGACCCTTTGGGTGTCCTATTCCTCACAGTTTGATATGCAAAAACGTCTCTCATCCTCTCTTCTATCCAAAATCAAAATCATTTCATTTATTTTGATTTTCTTTCATTTCATCTGTGGAGTACATAAGCTTACATTTGGTTCGTTGTACTTGTGTTTTGGAGTGCTACAACACAAGTGTAGCCGTTGTATCTTGGGAGTCGATTGCCGAAATCCGTAGGCACCGTTGCGGGGTAAATTCGACTTAAGGACAAAGAGTCCAACTCTTGCCTCGACTTTGTCACCATCATTATACTTATTTCGGCGTCACTATTCACAAAATTCTTCCAACAATTGTGTGGAAGGGCACAAGTAATGACATATTTTCTTTTAAGTCTTCCTATGAGATTTTGATTTCTTGGCACCGATGAACCATTCTATAAGGTGGATCACTCAAATTCACTTGGCACGTGATTATTGGTCTTGAGCACTTTGAAAGGATTGTGCTAGTTGATGTGTATTATGGACCATAGATTAAATTCATTTTTGTGGTCAATTGCCCTACTAGTCATGTCCTTTTCATGGTACAATATTTAAATTTGAATTCAAATAGTTCTTTAACTCCACAATTACAGGACTCCTTCAATTGTTTTACTTGGACTTTGTATAACAAAACAGAAAAAGTGTAGAGAGGTAACCAAGTGGGAGAACTTCATATCTTTGGTGAAATTTTTTCTGGCTTCCGACAGATCCTTTTCTTAGTACATCCATTGCCATTTCCCGTGGACAACGGTGTATAATTCGATGTGGTACAAATCTGAGTTTAACATCATAGGACACTCCATTGGTGGTATTGAAGAAATCTTGGATCGTTTGGTTTGATTTTTACACTTTGAGACTTTATATTTTCGCATTGGTAATAATCATTTGTACACTATATTTTAAACTCTATGATTTTTAATTTATAAATGTAATCATTGCTTATCTGAAAACTGTAGCAAAATGACCTAAATTGAGATTTCCAAATCAAGTCACCAATATTGCAAGGCGAACAACATAGCGTTGAGTTTTCACGTAACATGCTTGAGACGAAGAGAAAAATATCCAATTTGCTGATAATAAAAAGCCCAGGATCATGAAAGGCACCTAAAGACCATGTAATTTAACGGGTGCAGTCTATCCAAGCACAATGCAATCTGGCCCTGCTTCCAATAGGTCAGTGATGAACGGTATTACAAGTTACAAAGTTTAGTGATGATTTGAATGATTATTAAAGTTCAGCGACTCCGTAAAAATCTTTTGCAAAGTTCAATGACCATTTGGATTATTATCAATATGAACTTTAGAAATAAAAAATAAAAATAAAACCCATAATAAATAAAACAACAGATGTCTACCAACCTTCATGACAGAGAGAGTATAATCCGAAAGGGAGTTTTGAGGGAGACAAAGAATTGGGAAACGGTGAATTATAGGAATAGGCTTGGAAGCAGAGGATGCCCTCCATGGTACATCTTTTTGTAGGGAGCCTCCTTCTTTTCTGGACATTGGTTGTGCTAAAGTATATCTGCTGCTATTCTCTCTAAAATATGTAGTGTGTGTATGAACAATTCTGCTGCATATGCAAAATTTTTGTACAGATGCATTGATTTGAATTCCTGTACAATTAATGTCTTGACTCATACATCAAATAACAACATGTCATGTGTATGTCACATAGAAAAATTGTCGTAGTAATGGACTACCAATAGCATTACTCTCCATCATATGTATAAGATTTACTTACTGAGCTTTAGCTAATTCCATGATATCCTACC